TAGATTTTTCTGTTAGAATTTCATCTATTAATTTCACTTGTTTTTTATAGGTTGGTGTGGACCAAATTTCATAAAATATTTCTTTTATTTTTGAGTCTTCTTTATTCATTTTATTTATTAAAAAATTTATAAAAATTTAGTTATTTTTTCTTAAATTCAATGAATTTTTATATGGTGGATTAACTGGTTTTGACTTGATGTTTGTATTTACAACATCCTCAAATGTATAATCTGGATCTTCTCCGAAGCCACATGTTTCACAAACAACACTTGTTTGATTATCAAAATCTATTTCTGTTATCTTTCTATTAATTATTTCCATACCAATTATAAAACATTCTCTTGAATTACCTCTACTTGATCTTGGTTTTGTTAAAATAACTTTTTTAAAGAATTTCTTAAAATGATTAACTAAAACTCCTGTATACTCTCCTCTAAACATTTTAGCTACAAATTTAAAGGTTTTATCTTCTTGTGACACGTTAAGACAAATTTTTAAAGATGATATTAACAAATCAAATTGTAAATATTGATCAAGATCATGAAACCCTGTAACATCCGGTGCTCCATCACATATGACTGTATCAATAACAAAATCATAGCTTTTTATTTTGTTTAAACATACTTCTGATGTTATATCTTCTTTTAATAAAATTACTTTTGTATTTGTATTTTCAATAGGTTCCATGTCTTGTAAATCTACTGCTATAACATTCTCAATCCAATTAAAGTTTCTAACAACACATTGTGTCCAAGAGCCTGGTGCTGCACACAAGTCTAAGATGTTTTTAGAATCCTTAAATAAATTATACTTTTCATTAATATCCAATAGTTTATAAACACTTCTAGCCCTATATCCATCCATCTTAGCTTTAAAATAATATATATCATTCTTTTCTTTTGAGTTTATGCTCATAAAATTTTTTTATTAAAAATTTAATTCAAATATTCAAATAATAGATTCACATCTAAACTTTGTTTTCTATTCTTTCTATAACTAACTTTAACTGAACTTATAAAATTCAATGAATTTTCATCATAAACGTTTTCTTCTAAATATTTAAACACCTTATCTCTGTCTTTATCAGAACAACCTTTAATATTCTTAAGAACTATATAAAGATAGAAAAGTAATCTACTCGGTGT